AATGAGCTAAATATGTATAAAATAGTATTATCCATTTATATTAACATAAAATTTATTCATGAATATGAGTACCCTCTTTTTACCTTATTAATTCTCATTTTTTACCTATTAACATAAAAATTGAATTGATATTATTTTACAAAACTAGAGGTATAAATTGATCATTTTCATTTCAATTTCAAATTTCTTTCATCCTTATCTTTCTTTCTTTTTATCTCGTTATATGCGAGCTACGTAATGAGGTATATTTCTCAATTTTCTCATTAAGAGACCACTTAAGTGATAAAGATTTAGGATTTTCATTAAGAGTCAACTCAATGCCAACCCAAGAAGGCATGCATGGGATGGGAATTTGGGGTAGAGGATTACCCCGTTATTAAGAATGTAGTATAATTTATCCTTTTTTTTTTCTCTACATTGGTCTTTGAAATAAGATGCTCAAATAACATATTCATTTTTGGAATAAATTATAAATTAGTCCCTCTAGTTTTACAAAAATAAATTGAATAATTTATCTTGTTTTAAAAACTAATTAATTATCTATTTTTACAACATAGTTAATTTAATAATATTTTATTTTTAGAATATTTTATTTTTGATCAATCTTTTCATATTATTTATTTTTATTATCTTTTTTTATTTCATAAAAAAATTATATAGAAAATTCTTACTATATAAAAAGAGTTTAAAAGAAAAGTGATTGTAACAAAAAAAAAGTCAAAAAAATTGAAAAAAGTCTTCAATTTAAGAAAAAAAATTAACCAAGTAAATAGGTATGGATAGGGTATGAGCGGGGTATGATACAATAGATATAGGCTAAATAAAGAAATAGGTGAGTGATTCTTAGTAAGTAATGGGTATAATATTTTTTAATAGACAAGGTATGAAATTGGCTTAATGGGCTAGGTACCCGACCAATTACACATCCCTAGAGATGATGAACAATAGCCTCTCTACATTTTTTCGCTAGGTTTTTTTTTGGATAATGGTGATGGATAGTTGTTTTTTTTTTTTTTTTTTTTTTTTTTGGATACGATGATTAATGAAGGTTAGGATTTTTATGGGCAAGGTGAACAATGGAGGTTATGTGGTTTTTTTTTTTTTTTTGTAGGAAGATGGATAATGGAGGTTAGGGTTTCAAGATAGGAAGATGAGTAGTTGTGGCTCTCTAAAAATGAGGAGAAAGTGTATTTATAAAGGAGTTTTTTAAGGTTTGGGATAAATCAATCTTGATCCGTCCTTGATTTATTTCTATCAATTTTAATGTATATTTTATTATTTTTTCTTCAATTAGCTCCTTAATTAAAATTATTTAATCCATATTCTCTTAATTTCTTTCAATTCTACACCAATTAATTCTCAATCAAGACTTTTGATTTTTATCTTTTTCTAATTACATCCCTAATTGAATGTTATTTGATCCTCACTTTCACATCCTTTTTTATTGGATCCCAAATCATCTTTCTAAATTATTTTATTTTTTCTTTTAATTAAATTCAAAATATAATCTTAAGAAATTAAAATCCTAAAAATTTATAAAAATGCTTAAAAATAAACTATGCAACATGCCAAATGTTTTTTTTTTTTTTTTGTATGAAAATAAACCCCCGACAAGTGAGGGGGAGGTGCAAAAATGGATTATGACATAAATGGACACACACACACACACATAATATATATATATATAATGAACATGCATGAAATGTGAACACATAGTTTAAACAACTATATACAAATAATTCATGAGACTATATACAAAGAAAATCAATTACAAACATCATTTTTATCTTGACTATCACTATCCTATTCATTGTCATCATTGTTGTGACATTTTATATGCTTTGGGATAGATTTTTTAATTTTTTTCCTATCGAGTATGTCAAGATGTATTTTTGCAAGCCACGGGTTTTCTTACACTAGTCTTTTGGAAGTGCATATCTTGAGGGTTGGATTAGTAAAGAATTGATTTTGAAAGAATTTTAAGTTTCTCTTTTTTCCTTGTGTTCTTGCAACTCTAAGAGATGTGAAGGTGATAGCTTTATATGGATTTGGTATGTTTCTTCTCAAATCTCGATAATTTTTCAGCGACCTTTAGATCCGCACCATTTTTCTTAGCATAAATTAACAAAATTTTTTTAATAAATTACAATAAGATCCTAAATTCATAAAGTATATTATTAAAAATTATGCCTAATTAAAAATGATATTTTATTTTATTTTATTATTATGTTTATTAAAATTTTGGAATAAATTCTAAAATTGTCAAAAATTCATTTCTAGATCCTAGCCACACTAAGCATTGCATAAAATATTTTTTAGAATTTTCTTGGTATTTATTTCGTTAAAAATTCATTATTAATGAACTTTTTACTCTTTTTATCACAACAATTGAAATAAAGTCTTAACATAGTGTACCATAAAATCAAGAACTTAACGAGTTTTTAATTATTATAGCATTTTCTTTTAATATTAGACGAAAAAGACATGAACTTAGCTTTTGGTATTCATATTAGCATGCATGAGCTTTTTGGGCTTAAATTATGTTTTCAATCGACGTGGTGTGGTTGATAGGATGACAACATGACATAAATATCACATAGGATTTCAAATGGCTTATTTGATAAATTAACCCCTCAATTATAAGCAACATGTCAATCATTTCCAAACCCAATCAAACATCCACGATTAATTCTTCTTTTGGGTTTTATAGGTTTCAACGAGAGGGTCTGCGTTGTGGAGTTGAGATCAAGTTTGTGGTGGTTGGTGTTTCGGGTGAACGACAAGTTGTGGGGGAGAGAATAACGGCAGTAGGGATGTTGGGGCTATATGGTCGGTCGAAGTGGCGAGAGGTGATCGGTGGTCGGCATCCCAAAGGCTCTTGGTTTTGCAATTTGGGGGATTAGAGATTTTTCAATTCGGTTTGAGAATGATTGACATGCGAGTCATAATTGAGGAGTTAATTTGTCAAATAAGCCACGTGTAATCCTACATGATATTTATGTCATGTGTCATCTATGAACTATGCGACACTAACTAAAAATGAAATTTAAACTAGAAAAATTCACGCATGTTAATATGGTTACCTTAAGCTTAGTTTATGGTTTTTTTATCCAACATTGAAAGAACGTTTTTAAAACGATTAAAACGTATTAAGTTCGTGATTTATGGTACAATAAGCCTAAATTATTTACAATACTAAAAATTTAATGTTAGACATCATTATGTTCACAAATATATAGATGAATTTCTCAAAAACTTTCAAAATTTAATTCACTCCATATTAATTATTATGATTTTTTAATCATTTTTTATAAAAAAATTCATAATAAATTTTTTTGGATCTTTCACAATACTTTTAATTTACTAGTGACTTTAAACCAAGAAAACAGTTTGGCCGAATGGTCTAAGGTGCCAGATTAAAGCTCTGCACCGAAAGGGTGGGAGTTGAAAACACTAACCTGCCTAGTTTCACTTAGATCAATAAAATCACAATTTAGTTGTCAAGATAATTTCTCACTTTTTTTCTTGTTTTGCTCTTTTGTATTACCTTTTGGTTTTTTGTAGAACCTCAAACTTACTCTTTTTCTATTTTTCTTATTCTTTGTTCTTATCTCTTTTTTTTTTCTTGTCATATAAATTTGCTCTTTTGTATTACCTTTTGGTTTTTTTTTTTATTATTATTTTTTTTTTTGCAGAGAATCTCAAACTTACTGTTTGTCTATTTTTTTATTTATTATGTGTTCTTATCCTTTTTGTTTATATATATATATATATATATATGAGAGTTGAGGTGGATCAATTCCCCTACAAGGCTGCAACTGCAAATCAGCTGCTTGAAATTTAATATTTTTATTTTAAATAATTTTGTTGCTGGGTCAACCCTGTATGGGCTACCCTACCCAAATTTCTTTTTTTAACACATTTTTATTTAGTTTTTGGATTAATTTAGTGTACAAAATTTGTGTAAGAAAAGATTTTTAGAAAATTTATGTAGAATTATTTTTAAATTATGTGATCCCACCAAATATATATATATATATATATATATTCTGGATCAGCCATCCATTCTCATCCCTAGCTAGTTTAAACCGACTCATCTTTCCGACAAGGGAGCTGCTACATATGGGAAGGATGCACCTCATCCTTCATAGGCTTTTCTCTTTTCATTCCTCTTAACATCTCTGTTTCTGTCAAATCCTTGCGCAAATGAGATTTATTTTCAAATCACCTTGTTAGAAATGGCTCTACCTACCAATTTTTTGTTTTTAGCTCTTATCCCTCAGTTTTCCTACAATCATACACAATAGTGCACTGAAACGGAGTAAGGTGTCCAAGTAGTGCTATAATTAATGTTCGTCAAAGTCTTCTATTTGGCATATTGACCATGCTAGTTGATCAACAAAGGCTGGCTTTGATTTCAGATTTATCTTCTTTTCTTTAAGTTGACTGACATTTTCCACAAGGGGTGAGAAGGGACGCTTCTGTTTTTAAAAAGCCTGTTTTGTAGACTATGAACCGAGAAAGCAATTGGTTTGTGCCTCTGTTAGAGTTTGACTATGTCATTTTCGTTGTAGTTTGGTAGAAAACAGTTGATCAAACTTGGAAGAGATCCTCAAGGGATTTGTTATCACATGCTCTCCCCTTTCGTACTTATGCAGGGAACAAAATTTCAGGAATGAGTGGAACGTACAGTGCTGCCCCCGTTGTTGTGCTGTACAAAGGCTGAAGTTGACGTTAATGGCTAGCAAAAGCCATTCTGGAATGAAATTGATTTCACATTGAAGTTTCGGTGTCAAATCACAGGCTGCCTCAATAAACCAGGGGCTCAAGTCTTCCTAGCTCATCTTGAATCACAGTTCAAACCAGAAAAACAGACTCCAAACCTCCCAAAAATGTTGAAAATAAACTCTACTTTTTTTTCATTTCACTTCCTTACCCTATCTCTTCTGCTCCTCAGCCATGCAAACTCACAGCTCCAAGATCAAGAACAAGCCATTCTACTAAGACTGAATCAACACTGGCGTTATCCATCGTCTCTCCACCATTGGACCCCAACGAACTCCTCTCATTGCACTTGGCCCGAAGTGGCCTGCACCAATAACTCCATCACTCGACTCCTTCTTGATAACAAGAACATCTCTGGAACGATCCCACCTTTTATTTCTGACCTTAAGAATCTCGTATTTCTTAATTTTTCCAATAACAGCATCACTGGAAAGTTCCCTGAGGTTGTCTACAATTTTTCCAAGTTGGAGATTTTAGACCTCTCTCAAAACTACTTTGATGGTACCATTCCTAATGATATTGACAGGTTGGCTCGGCTCTCCTACCTCAACCTCTGTGCTAATAGCTTCACTGGCAACATTCCAGCTGCCATTGGGTCGTTACCAGAGCTAAAAATTCTTCAGCTTCATAACAATCTGTTTAATGGTACTTTCCCCCAGAAATCGGCAACTTGTCGAAACTTGAAGAGTTATTTATGGCTACCAATGGGTTCTCTCCATCAAAGTTTCCGTCCAATTTCACGCAGCTGAAGAAACTGAAGAAATTGTGGCTTTCTGCCTCGAATTTGATTGGAGAGGTTCCAGAAAAGATTGGAGAAATGGTGGCACTGGAGCACTTGGATTTATCAATGAATAATTTAACTGGGCACATCCCAAGCGGTTTGTTCATATTGAAGAATTTGAAGGTGCTGTATCTTTACAAGAACATGCTATCTGGGGAGATCCCTCAGGTTGTTGAAGCTTTGAGCTTGACTGTCATCGATCTTTCATGGAACAATTTGACTGGGACAATACCAGTTGATTTTGGGAAGCTTGGCAAATTATCAGGTTTGAGTTTGTCCTTCAATCAGTTATCTGGTGGAATCCCAGAAAGCATTGGCCGTCTTCCCGCATTGAAAGATTTTGCCTTGTTTAGCAACAATTTGTCAGGTGCACTCCCTCCAGATCTTGGGCGATACTCAGCTCTTGAAAGCTTCCAGGTTTCTTCCAATAAATTTGTAGGGAACCTACCTGAATATATATGCCATGGAGGTACGTTAATAGGAGTGATAGCTTTTGATAATAAGTTCAGTGGAGAATTGCCAAAATCACTGGAGAATTGCAGCAGTCTGATAATAGTTAGAATTTCAAATAACGCATTTTTTGGCAATATTCCTGTTGGTTTATGGACTTCTTTTAATTTGCAACAATTGTTGATTAGTGATAATTCGTTCACTGGTGAGCTTCCTAATGAAGTGTCATATAATCTTTCACGGCTCGAGATAAGTAACAACAGGCTCTCTGGTACTATTCCCATTCAAGGGAATTCTTGGAGGAATCTGGTAGTTTTTAATGCGAGCCATAACCTATTTACTGGCACAATCCCTCAAGAATTGACTGCTCTTCCTAGTCTGACGACTCTTTTGCTTGATAAGAACCAGCTCACTGGAGCCCTTCCGTCCAACATCATCTCATGGAAATCATTAACTACTCTAAACCTCAGTCAAAATCACCTTTCTGGACAGATTTCAGAGGAGATTGGTTTCCTACCTCGCCTCCTCGAACTGGACTTGTCAGATAATCAATTTTCTGGCCGAATTCCACCTCAGCTTGGCTTGCTGAGGGTTACTTTTCTCAATCTCTCTTCCAATCATCTCATGGGGCAAATCCCGATTGAGTATGAAAATGCAGCTTATTCCAGTAGCTTCTTGAACAATCCTGGTCTTTGTGCAAGTAGGTCATCCCTATACCTTAAGGTTTGCAATTCCAGACCCCAAAAGTCAAGCAAAACTTCAACCCAATTCCTAGCCTTGATGTTAAGTACTTTGATAGCAGCCTTTCTGTTTGCCATGTTATTTGCTTATGTCCTGATCAGAGTTCACCGGAAGAGAAACCATAGATTGCATTCAGAATGGAAGTTGATCAACTTCCATAGGTTGGATTTTACTGAATCAAACATATTGTCGGGATTGACAGAAAGCAACCTGATAGGAAGTGGTGGATCAGGAAAAGTATATCGCGTTGCTGCAAATGGCTCCAGTGTTGTTGCCGTGAAAAGAATCTGGAATAACAAAAACTTAGACCGGAAACTTGAAAAGTCATTCCTTGCAGAAGTTGAGATACTGAGTACAATAAGGCATTTGAACATTGTGAAGTTGCTTGGTTGTATTTTCAATGACAATTCAAAACTTCTTGTCTATGAGTATCTGGAGAATCATAGTCTCGATCGATGGCTGCATACAGCAAAGCAATCAAAAAGTGCATCAGCATTGGTCAATCATGTTGTTTTGGACTGGCCTAAGAGGCTGCAGATCGCAGTGGGAGCTGCTCAAGGTCTGTGCTACATGCATCATGACTGCTCTCCCCCAATAGTTCACCGAGATGTCAAATCAAGCAATATCTTGTTGGATTCGGAGTTTAATGCAAAAATTGCTGATTTTGGTTTAGCGAAGATGCTGATTAAGCAGGAAGAACTTGCTACTGTGTCAGCTGTTGCTGGTTCTTTTGGTTACATAGCTCCAGGTTAGTGATCACTTTTCATGCCACACCCTTGTCCTTTCCCCTCCTTTTCCACTACCAAGTATTAAAGTTTCTTGTTTTATAACTTGAATCAGAGTATGCTCAAACAGTTAGAGTGAATGAGAAGACTGATGTCTATAGCTTTGGAGCTGTCCTTCTAGAACTAACGACGGGAAAAGCAGCAAATTATGGTGATGAGCATACATGCCTTGCCACATGGGCATTGCGTCACCTGCAAGAAGGAAAACCTATAGTCAATGCTTTAGATGAGGAGATAAAGGAACCTTGTTACTTGGTTGAAATGAGCACTGTTTTCAAATTGGGAGTTGTCTGTACCAGCATATTGCCTTCTTCTAGGCCTAATATGAAAGAGGTTCTGCAAGTCTTACTCGGAAGTAGCCACCCATCAGTCTATCGGACGAAGAACATTCGAAGTGAGTATGATTGCACTCCATTGCTTAAGAGCTCAAAACACGAGAGGTCATCCGAAAGTAACAGCAGTTTAGCATCCGATCTCTGTTGAATGCACGGAAATCACCTCCAGGCTCACTGTTTACCTAGAGAATAAGGAGTATCATTTCTGGAGTTTCAATTGTAAAATATGTATAGTTCTGCATATAATTAGCTAGTATAAGACAGCGGATACCCTCTAAATCTGTAGAGAAGGAAATAAGCACCTATAAGGCTGCAATGCAATGGCTTGTACGATTATTTGAGAGCAGTGTCCAAGCAAGGATGCATGATATCCATGACAATATCCAATTTACTACAGCAAACAAACGCCAATTCTCTCAATCGCTTATTCCAAGCACAGCCCAACAGTCGGTTCAAGGTTTCGATAACGAGGTACAGATTTAGGCGTACCACCTTCTCTATGCGTACACTCGTGAGTTTCTTCCACAGCCAGAGGCCACATAATTTCAAATTACACACAAATATAAAGGCAAAACCCAAAACACTCGCAGACCAGCTTCCACCAGCAACAAAAGATCAACAAAGAACAAAGCCCCTGCATGCATGCGAAGAAAGAGTTCCATCTAATGAACAAAACAAATCTGACAATGTTATCTCCCATATAGCCTACCATACTTTAAAATTTACAGAACAAATGTTAATGATGGAAATAAATCTTAATCATAAAAATCCACTTTATTCCCGATTAGAACCATAGAAAATTATTCCGCCAAATTTGGCAACTCAAATCATTGTTTTACATCCCCACTTTATTGTGTAATATTCTGGAAAGGAAGTAAAAACAGGAGCAGAGTGACAGACTGCCACAACAAAGCGTGGGCCACTAATGGCACTTTATCAAAAGAGTGTTTGATCTACTGCTCAACTGACTACCACCAAAATATGGATTTCGCTGGCATCATCTTAAGAACTAGGAGGCTTGACAAGCTCTAGATGATTTGAAGCAAGTCAAGTATACAAAAAATGAAAAATGTAACATTATGTTCATCTGATGGGTTATTATCACGATTCTTCAACCTCCAGATATTGGGAATGGGAGGCTGCTAGGAGAGCAGCTCCAATGCCTGAGCCATCATTAGATTGCTCAATGACAATGTTGTCAGAAACTTCCTCTCCCAGCAACTCCTTGAGAGTGCTTTCCATGCAGGTACTAAATTCAGAATAGTGTTCGTACAACCCACCATCCATTGCTACCACAGACTTCTGCTTTTCGCCATCCTTGACTGCATCTCTCCCCAATTTCTTAAGGATGCCTACAATACCAGCAGCAGATAGGCGGGCACCACGAGTGGCAACAATGTCACATAGCTCAACAATAGCTTTCCTCATTTTGAGGGAGGTATTAGGTATCTGGGGCAAAAAAAGGAAGCAAAAATGAAATGTGCTCTTTGGAGTATGTAACAAAACAACCAAATATCTTTGCAGTTGAAATGGAAAAACATCATGACTCTTGTACAACCCGATTCTCCCCAAGCCAACTGTGACATGTTTGCAGAAAAACCAAAATTTCTTGACAGGTGATGGAGCAGAGTTGATAGACATCAAATTATCAGCACAAACCTAACCTGACTAGTTATCGATGTTAATTTTTTCTCTCATAAAGAATGCATCACACAGATTGTGAGTCAGTCCCTTTTCTCAGGTTCAATATCTTTCACCTGCCTTTATCTGTACCTTTTTCCTTTTCGTTTTTTACATTTGTTACATAGTTATCCACAAAGAAATTCATTTTTGATTGAGAGACTAATGACGATGAAGTAATTTGGAAGTTAATTGTGAGGAATAGTTATAACTGAATGTTAGAACTACTAGTTTTAGTTCTATTTTGAGTGTGTGTGTGTGTGTGTGTGTGTGTGTGTGTGTGTTTATATGCATGTTCTGGGGTAAATTGTTACCTTAAGCAAATACCATATTAATTTTTGGATATAAAATGGTATTTAAATGAAAGATAAGAATCGAAGGGAGGCAGAGCAGCAATCCTTGTTTTGCATGGAGATGGAAATGAATGCCAATTGAGATATGGCAAAGAAATTTTACAAAACATGAGGATGTGATAGGGACAAACAAACCTCCAACACATCACCTCATTATCATACCTACTTGAACACTTGAAGCGAGATATTTAAGCTCCTTTTCAAATAATCTGTTTTCCTTATTAAGAAAGGTATCAAGAGGTAGAAGTAAATAAAATGCTGCAGAAGGCAAACACAATCAGAAAAGCGCAATACCTCTAAGATATCCTTTAGTTTGCTTCCAACAACTCTCAGATCTGAAGATGCATCATGGTGCATCGCAGACATGTGAGGAGTCCTGTATATTAACAGTGGTGCAAGCTTGTATTAGTTACAATGTAAGCAGCGTTGGGTAGATCAAGATACATCGATGAGGCATCTCAACTCAAAACAGGGAAAAAGACCACAAAACCACAAACTTCAAACTCAGTAGGTAATAGACAGCTCACAGACAAAGATATATGGCAGACCTTAAGATGAATGGAATCTTCAGTTTCAGTGGAACAACATCACCAAAAAAGGCAGCCTCTTCAGCCATTTTCAGTAGAACTCTGCGTACAATTTCTCCCAAATACATACCAGAAATAATTTTTTCAAAAATCTGCAAACAATAATGACAAAGGTTAAACTAAATCCATAAGCAGCAATGAGTTAAAACTATAAAGGAAAAATAGCATCACCTGTTCTCCAGGATTCAAAGACTCAACATCCAAGTCTTGATCGTATTTCGTTAGTGGAAGGTGTGATGACCTGAAGTTACCCCACTCCATGTTGATAACCTAGTAAGAAACACTTCAGTATCGGTTCATGCCCATGCAAACATAAGCATTCCTGTCATAAAGAAAGTAATAAGGAGAAGAGAAAATCAAATCTGAGATGCCAACCATTTCTCCAGATTTGGGTAGAAGACCGTGCCACTTAGGAATTGCATGTGCTCGCTCTACATATGCTGCATTTGTTCCAGTACCCAATATTACAGCAGCAATGACATCCGGGTTTAAGTATCTACCTCCAGCTAACGTTCCAATTGTATCATTCACCTACATCAGCTCAGAGTCGAGGAAGCTGTTTAGTTATGTAGACATGTGACTGCATTAAGCATTAAGCGTATCGTAAATCACATTCTTTGCCAGTTGATAGAAGAAATCCAAACAGAGAACCGAGGGACAATAACCAAATAACTTACCAAAGCCGCCACACGCATGTCGAGGCCAATTCTCTCCATGGCTTTGGTTAATTCTCCCACCACATCTTGTCCAACCTAAGGACCAGGAATGAAGTAAACAACAATGTTAAAAAGAAATAAGGAGGCACAGTGATTGACTGAAATTATTGCAATATGTCCTGAGTGTAACTGCTGGTAACAGTATTTTCACTTCAACACTTTCCAGAGCAAAAATATCAGGGATATACCCTCACAGCTTTTATAGAGAAACTGCCTGCTTTTACAAATAAAAGTTGAGCAAATGTGGCAAAATTGATAATTCAGAGCAAGTAAGATACATGTGAATAATTGGAACTTCCCACACTGTTGAGATATATGCTCCCAAACTAAATTATGAAGACTAGATGTGGGTGATAAGAGCTCAAGAAATAAAATGAACACTGAGATAGAAAATTTCTTTGCTCCTGAAGCTTGGTTGGCATGTTTGGCACATGTTCCCTCAGAATTTCCGGCACGTATTCCCTCATAATTTCAGTGAATACCTAATTGCTAAAATTTCACAGATCAATGGAAACTCATAATGAATTCAGAGTGATATCCAGAACATCAGAAAACAAGTACTACCAAAGTTATTATATTTCAGATGCCAAGGATTTATTTTTCTATTTAATTGATATCAAAAACATCAGGAATCAAGTAATACCAGTTTGTATGTGTGTGCATACCAGCTACATGTGGGTCTCACAATAAAAAGACTTTTATTATGTGAACTGTAATTTAGGATGGCTCATCACACCACGCATGCAATTTTTGACACTGCATATCACCTGGACCCCTTAGGGCATGCTTTTTAATCATGTCACTTCTCATTAATGGGGGGAAAAAAACAGATGTCAAAGAGGTGGAGTGGGTCAAGGGGAAAAAAAAAAAAATTGACATTTTTAGATAGGAAAACAATTGGTTTAAGTTTTTCATTCTCATACAGATAATGCACAAAGATCAAAATCAATATGACAATAATTAAAAAAACTGATCATAATGCAATAAAATAAATAAATAAATAAATAAAAGATGGCAAAAAGGGGGAGGGGGCAGGTGGGCGAGTCAGGACTAACCGCATCTTCTATTGAGAAGCCTTTTGTCCATTTTATAAGATTTCCAGTTGCTATTGATGTTTGCCTAACTGGAAACGAGAAGGTAAACCCAAGCTCCCTCTGTCTCCCAGGTGAATGCAGACCTTCACCTTCTGTAGCAACAAACTTAGCAAGCGCAGCAGCAATATAATCAAATAGTGCCTGAAATCACCACCACATACAAAATATTTAGATCACTAACTATGCTAGGCAGGGGCAAGTTTGTTGGCCTAGCTTGAAATGACAATCACCTCTGAAGATCCTGTCATCAAGTGTGGAGGAATTGAGACTTCCTCAAACTCTTGTTTGACAACACCTGCCTCCTTCCCTCCCAGCAGTACCCGTATAACACGAAAATTTGTTCCGCCAAGGTCTAATGCATAGAACAATCCTTTCTCATCTCTAAAAATTAAGCACAGAGGTGGCTATCCATTCAGTGGTAATTTTGTTTAGTTAATATAAAATGTCTAGACAAATGAAATTGCATTTTCTCAGGGACAAATCCTTCTCAGCAAAACAACATCTTTTGTGTTGCCTAAAGAACATCAATGCTTCTTTAGTCTTATATCACACCTTAATTCTTCATTTCTTTTTCTGTAAATTTTTCACTTTTTAGTACTTAAAAAACCTTATCTACAATTTAAATAGGGCCATCTGCAGCTAAAAGGTGTTCATCAACCAATCACTCATATAGCTCAACAATTAAAAGGAATAGCGCATCCCAGAAACTTCTGCACATTCATCCAAGCTGATGATCACTAAAGTTAACCAGCATAGAACTTTAATTAAGTGAAAAGTTACCCAGCAACACGATAAATCTCAAAGAAATCCATCCTTTTTAAAAAATAAAAAATAAAAATAAAACATAGATGTTCATAAGATATATATGTAGACCACAAAGTTGGTCTTTATCAACAGCACAGTACCACCAACTGATCATAAAAGTTTCATATTCCATAAGAAACACATCAAATGAGCAGCCACAAAAGAATCCTTGCAGAACTTATGCACTCAATACAAGCTAAATACTGTTTGCTTATCGCTTCAAAAGGCAAAATGACCTCCCACTTCAAAAGCTCAAAATTTCATCAAATCGTACCATCATGATAAGATACTAATACAACATAAGAGAATTCAAAGCCAGGAGAATTTCCTAAGGATTAGATATGAGCTTTAAAAAGCAAAAGGTAGTCGTAAAGCTTCAAACGTAAAGCATTTATTGACTGAATGAAAAAGAGGGAACTACAAAAGAGACAAAGGTTAAGCAACTTAAAAAGCAAATGCCAAAAATACTTTGCAATTCCTACACGAAACACGTGAAATATGTCAAGCTCAATTTCAGAAAGGGTAAAATTCAAGATTAAAAAAGAGTATGTCTTTCCCTGATAGAAAGTTTTCTTGGAACTACCTACGCAAACCCATTTCCATTAAATTCCAATGGGCATAAAAAATTCACAAACAGGGATAATACGTCAAAGATTGTTCTTTATACACTCAAGTTCAAAATTACGAACCAAACTCGAAAGATTCTTATTTATGCACTGCCACTTCATTCCCCAAAAACAATACAAAATGAAGTTCGTTTTTCCAGTCCAAGACAAAACTCTTTGACCAAAACAATAATCATCCAACATTAATAACATACTAAATTAAAAATAAATTAGGATATTATATATATATATCAAAGGTGCAATTTTTCAGAACAGAAAATAAACCCCTTCAACAATAAAAAAAATCCATTACTTCACAAATCAATTTATAAATATCCCTCAAGCAAATTAAAAATACACAAAGGGAAATGAAGGGAGGGAAAAAAAAAAGAAGAAAAAGATAACTATCTTTTAATTAAGCGAGAATAATATTTAATTACCCGGAAGGAAGATTATCTACATAGCTTATTAACATCTTGAGCTTACTACCACCCTCAGATGCAAGACCGGCATGCATCTCAACAGCCATAGCATCAGCCACCTGTCTTAACTTCCCAATAGGGGTCCCACAATTTTCTTCAAACTCCCTTATTATCGCCATAGCCCTGGCCCACCTCCCTGAACATCTCATCCTGTGCCTCACCACCAACGCCGCCGCCGCACACACTGCCGCCGCGCAAACCACCGCTGCTCCCACTGCCGCCTTCCCCATCACAGCAATGATAGTAAAACTCTAAACCTGTCTGGTTTAAAATTGAAGGGGATTGATTGAGAAGTAATTGGAATGGAAAATTTGAAGCAAAATTATCAGTTGACGAAGCTGGATTTGTCTCGGAAAATAAGGAAGACTGCCAGAAAACAATAAAAAAGAAAAGGAAAGAAAAGAGTGTTTAAATAATAAAAAACTGGATTTGCTTTTCTTCCCTCTCTCTCTCTCTCTACATATGCATATATATAGATTCCTGTATTTTTGTATTTTTATTGGGTTTAGTGGTTTTTTTAATCCCCCGACTATTTATTTCTAATATTTGATCCTTTTATGTTATTTTGACTTGAACATTTAAAGGATTAAAATTGTTTCTACTTAAATCAATCCTTATAAATTTATTATCCTTATTTCATCTCCTTACAATATTATATGTTTATAACCATTTCGATAGCATTGGATGGATATTCAAGATAAAAATCCATTTATATGTTTAAAAATAGAAATTAGTCAAATTTCAATATTATCTTTTCGATGGTATATGTTACACATAAACAAGAATATGATAGGTATTTTTTTCTTTCCTAAACTCATACTTATAAGCATCTTAAAATTTAAAATCATTATATTTTATTTTGATGGTCATGATACCATATATATTGGTCCAAATTCTATTTTAATATTTTTCAATTTCTATCTAAAGCATATTAAGTGTGTATACTTGGCTATAAATTATATATAGTTATCATTCTAATTTTGGCTATAGTCATGAAAAAAGTGTTTAGATAAAATATGCCATTCAGAGAGAATTTGTAAGGAAGATATTTAAAAACATTTATATATTATATTATATGTGATAAAAATAATAAAATATTACACTATATATATATATATAATGTTTGTTTGTATGAAAAACATAGGGGAAAAAAGTTGAAAAAAATACAAATAAATTTTTCTTATTTTTGAATTGTTAAATCTAAGTAAGCTTTACACTTAACTTTATACTATAAAGTAAAATTTAAAACATTTTAAACTCTTTTACTTTAACAAAATACTCATTTTATCTCGATAATAAACGAGAATTAAATATTGATTTAAGCCTACTAGAACCTAACGGTAAAATCTAATATTCTTATTTACAAATTCTGATAGATAATATAACTATACAATATGAAGTGCTCAATAATTAATACTAGGTTGGGATCGAAATATTAAAGAGACCAAATCAATAAAAATTCAAGATACAGGGACCAAATGATACTATTAAATGTATTTTCAGGATTTTATTCGTTTCTTCTGGTACTTTTACTCTACCCTTTCGAGTCGTTCTCAAAAGAAGATATTTGTGAGTTTGAACGAAAACATAATAGATAAATGTGTTGCTGGAAATGTGGATATGTTTTAATGGTGGAATTACAGAAAGGCCTAATTACGATGTCTTTGGGTAACATCTTGCTTTTATACGGTGCTTTCCAGCTTAAGGAATGCCATGTCCTTGGTTTTTATTTTGTGAGCAGTGCACGTGCAAAGTTGGAATCTTAATAAAACTTGCAAAAAATATTTAATAGATTGCATGGACGAAATATTTTGTTTGTTTTTTCTTTTTTGGGTACAGATTGATGAAATAGTTAATGGTTACTAATTAATTAACATGATCTTCAAAAGGGACAATATATTTTCTTATTATTGAAATTTTAGCCAAACAAGTTTTCTGTTTTGCGATTGAGATCCATGGTTTTGGTCAAATACAGTGTGTGTGTGTGTGTTTTTTTTTATTTAAATCTTCCCAACTTGGATAGCTTAATTTATTGGTGATTTTTTTGTGCTCAAAACCAAAACAGGTTGCTTGTCTGAAAAAAAAAATGGACTTTGACCGAGAGAGAGAGATAGTGGGCTAGAACTCAGATTTCTATATGTCAAAGCTGTTTATTTTTTGGAGTAAATTATAAATTAATCCATCTTGTTTTGAAAATAAATTAATTAATTTTTTTAATTTTTAAAATTAATTATTTAGTTTTTTTAATTAGTGTTAGCCACGATTAACTTAATATTTTTTATTAATCTTTTTCATATTTTTATTTTTTTTTTTTTTATTTCTTAAAAAAATTTAAAAATAACAAAAAGAATTAAATAATTAATTTTTAAAACTAGAGGAACTGATCAATTTATTGCTCAAAGCAAAAGGGATTAATTTATAATTTAATCTTATTTTTGGCATCAACTTTATGCCAATCTTTTTTCTTTTTTCTTTTTTTTGGCTATTTACTTTTTCTTAGTTTTGGATTAGGTGACAGCAAATTAAGATATCAAGTCCTACTATTTCATTTCCGGGAATGGGGAACAGGAAAGTTGTTTTCAGATTATTTACTGTAATTGAAAGCAGAAATTTTATGATATTATCAACTTGTCCAAAGCGTTGACAGGGAAATTTCGTTAGCAGCCAGTAATTGACATTTTTGCAACTAATTTTTGTCCAAAATTGACTATAAATCTGACTCAGCAACTAGTCATCGTTTTGATCTTTTAAGGTTACCCAAGTTAATTGTGAGCTCCCCACTTTTTTCTTTAAAAAAAAAAAAAAAAAAGAGGAAGGAAAGGCCCGTCAGACCTAAGCGTACGTGCTTAGCCTAAAGTCTACAAGTTCAAGCCCCTAACTAAACCACAAAAGAAAATATTAGAAACAACCTACATCCATGTTATTTATATGCTATCATATTTCACACTGTACACACCCACACATAACTAAGGATACGTTTGTTTTGTGAAAAATAATTTTTATAGGAAAATCAATTCCGATGAAGCTATTTTTTAAAAAATAGCTTCATCGAGAATTGATTTTCCTATAAAAAAATATTTTTTATTATTTGGTAATTATATGAAAAAGCTGTTAGAAAATATATTCCAACATTTGTTTGATACGAGAAAATTAAAATATAAAAACGAGTATATGATTGTTACAACAATAAGTTTTGAGAAAATTTCAAAAAAGCATATTCATAATTTCACAATATAAGCCATATTTAGAAAAACTTGATAAATTTTCCTAAATACCGACTTTAAAATTTTAATTCAAAAAAATAAAATATACTTTTTTAACCATCAAACCAATTCATCAAAATCGGGACAAAATCAAGTCAATATTCACATTTAGTTTAAAAAAAAAAATCTAAGCAATTCTAGCATTGTTATTTTGGTAACTCAATTAAGAATTCTTTTTTTTTTTTTAGAAATTGAACTGATAATTTAGTCTAAAAAATAATTTTGTAAATTATTAGCTATCGTTTGTAGATAATTATTCATTTGGTTTCAAAAGATTAATGTTGTAATAATTTGTAACTAATTATTCACTACAATTATCAATAAAATTTTACAATTGATTAAAATTATAAATTATTAATTTAATGGTAAATGAATAGTATTGGGAAATAATATATTTATTAATTAATTAATTAATTTCAAATTTTTTATAAAAAAAATTACAAGCTTGTAATAATCATTTTCAATCATTTAAGTATAGTGTGAGAGGTGTTTGAGATAATAGTAAAAAAATAAAGATAAATTATTGAAATATTTATTATAAAAACGATTTTAAGGTGTAAAAAAGATTTATAAGAATATTTAATGTATTTATAATCAAAAAATCAAATATTAGTAGAAATAGGAAAAAATTAAATAATAAATAATAATTGATAAGGAATAATTAAAAATTAATTTGATATATTTTAAAACAAAAGAAGATAGATAAAAAAATTGTTAAAATATATCGAGAGAGAGGTAAGTAATACGAGAGCAAAATAGCTCATGAGAAAGAAAATGTTTTCCTCTTTTTAAATTGGAAAAACATTTTCCTAAAAATAATCTATCATTTTTCATTGACTGAAAATATTTTTCGTTGACTTTTTTTTCTAAACGCGAAACAAACACTCGAAAAATGAGGAAAACAAGTTATTGGGAACTTGTTTTCTCACAAACAAACACAGACCTAAATAAAAAACTAAAACAACCAAAAGGTGATAACTTACAGGTAATTAAACATCGACTTATAAGTTAGGTCTAAAATTTGATTTTTATTATCAGTATTTTTGAAAATTTATTCTCAAAATATCCGAGATCGTATATTAAAAAGTGCATGTTAACCATATACAAGAAACTCCTTTTACAGTTTACCTCCGCTAGTTTATTGTATGGATAAACCCTTATTCCATTTGACGTAAGATCAAACCAATTGCATTTAAATACTACTCGTTCTCTTGATTGAAAGTGTATGATACTCAAATTGCAAAATTTCTATCAATATCTCATAATAGTCACTCTCATCTATATTGTAATTAAATCCTTTAATGTACACTTTGTTATTCATACCTATTATATTTGAAACATGCTCTTGTATACGAAACCTATATCCATTTACAATGTATTCTGGATATGACTTTATAATATGTAAATGACTTTTTCTAAGATCTTTTATGAGATGGTCTATCATAGAGCTTGATTGTGCATATTTTATCTACAAAATCTAGATCCATCATAAAAAGTTTAGTTAACGAGTAAAAGAAAACCATTCGGAAAACCCTAACTAAAACAAAGATACTTACATATTCATTAAATCATTTAATAAACTCAATTTCAAGTCAACCATCAACCTCATGGTCGAACATATAAAGATTATTTTCTTACAACTGGGCAATATATCCACTTGTCAAAAAATCACATGTGTAACATACGTAAGTTAGTTTATATATTATGATTGTTAATTAAAAATAAACAATATTGATATTAAATTTTATACATGTACTTAATATAATGTTTAACTTCTTAACGAGTTTAATAATATATATTATGGGTTGCTTTACTCTCTTCTTATGTCAACTTCCACCCTGTATTGAGCATTAGATTAATCAAAAGATTAAAACCCATTAGTGAAAGCTCTCAAATATTCCTTCTTTCTAATACAACAGAATGATGCATTTTATAAAAATGCCACCATGCAATAAAGTCAAAGAAAT